ATGTATATGTATATGTATATGTATATGTATGTGTGTAGTACACAAACAAAACAGATATATGCATAAACACCTTTGAATTCCCCAAATAGAATATTTACCATATTCATGTCATGACCGACTGACTGTCTCTGAGGCTAGTAGTGTATCGGAGAGTGATTACTGGACACTGAGACCTCTATTTACGAGTCCGTACGTAGGACTATTTATTTTTGGAATGTGTAATTTTTGTTTTTTATTTGATTTTAGAAGGCTACAACATTTTATTCCAATAATAATTGATAATAGAGGTTACCTGATAAATAGATCCAGCATGATGGAAATAGCTTTAGAACCATGGATCACTTTCGAGTTTCGATTTCAATTCCAGAAATAAAAATCGACTTCCAATGCTCCACGGTATAAATATTGCTCACAAATCAAATACTTTAAATTGTTTATGGCCAATTGGCAAGCTCCGATCATGTGGTCGTGGCTGCTGTCATAATTCTTTAATGTTCTAATTGTGGCATTCCTTTCGACCAGTAGTAGGCTTCTACTGGCTACTCACTTACTCTCCATATACCACATTACGTTACGTTGTTATGTATATATGCTACGTTTTCAATAAAACGTTTTCTTTGGTTGGTCCTTGTTGACGTGGGTGAAATAATTATTTAGTCTCCGAGGTGCAATATATAGGTACTATTTCAATATATGGTCCTACTATAGTAAATAATACGCCAGACCCATTTCCCCCCACTTATCTTCAAATATGGAATACCAAAACGTAAAAAAGGTTGTAGCCTACTGGTAGCTCAGTAACTATTGACTAATCACTAGTTCACTACAGCAGTACAGGTTGCAGGCAGTCAACTGATCGGCTGATCTCTATTCTCTGATCGGTATAAAAGTTTTAGACCAATAATGCATCCCCGATGTATGACATCATAACTTTAACCCCGTACCCCTTTTGGCTCAACTTTTCCTGTTGAAATCATAGATACATTGTACATTTGAACTCTGATGAGCTCATCGTAGATGGTTCAATATAAATATTCGGTATACCCATGCTCAACTTCACTTTACAGTTTAACGTTAGTTACCTATGAGAAAAGGCTTCAGACTTGCGGTATCCCGATTGACACGATACATCTAATCCCGATTACAAGAGAAAAGTATAAATACCGGGTGTAACTCGCCTATCAGTATATATATATTCTTAGAGACTCATTAGTCACCACTCGAATATACAAGATCTATCAGAAAATTTCAAGATGCTTCGGAATGTACTGTCCAGGCAGCTCCGACCCCTTGCACGCCATCCATCCGCTCACAGAAAATTGTCCACAGTCCGTACCATTGCTTCTAAGGGAGCAACAGCAGCTAAGTATGTATCAGGTACGCTTGGAGGTGTGATCATCGCTTCATACTTAACAGCTAATGTACTTGGAGATCCTCTCCCCAAGGAGACAACCAATCGTCCCTATCACTGGATCTCTCCAGAAGCGCAGACATTGATCGCGAGAAGTTATGAGCGCCATAACAAGCTCGCAGACTCCAATAAGGATTCTCTTGACAAGCTTTCAGTGCCAGAAATGATGAGAAACAATGCACAGTTAGTAAAAATGTCGACTGATTTAAACGCACATTACGAACCACAGAAGTTACGAGACAGGCTATCGTACGTGCTCATGACATCGTTAGAACACCTCATGCATTTATTCTTCCGAGAGAAGTATGATCACCACGCAGTGACGCTTGAAACCCTGGCAGCTGTACCAGGCATTGTGGCCTCAGCATTCAGACACGCACGCTCACTACGGCAGATGCAACCCGACCACGGGTGGATCAACCCATTGCAAGAGGAGGCTGAGAATGAACGTATGCACCTGCTTATCTGGATGCAGGTTACCCAGCCAACATGGCTGGAGCGTCAGTTTGTGACCATTAGCCAGGGCGCATATGCACTGAGTTATGGTATCCTGTATGGTTTTTCACCATCGACAGCACATCGATTCGTAGGGTACCTCGAAGAAGCGGCTGTGTCAGCGTATACCGACTTTATCGCTGCTCTTGATTCTGGCGCGATCGAGAACAAGCCAGCCCCGGTTATTGCGAGAGAGTATTATAACCTACCCAAGGAGGCGACCATTCGCGATGTTGCGCTCAGAGTACGAGCCGACGAATACATGCACAGAGACTTTAACCACGAATTGGGCGATATGCACACGAACGGACACCAGAACCTTTGTCCGAACTTTATGAGTACAGAAATAGGCAAGCGAAGAGTTCCCGCTGGCCCATGGGAGCGTACTTCGACTGGTACACTCAAGCGCACATGGACGGATGATAGTAAGTGGGATGATGAGCCAGTCAACGAGCCTAAGTTGCCACAGCCAGGATCTTTCGGTGTTTCGCAGTAGTTCTGAACACGTATGGGCAAAAATGAGGACGATTTTTTACGAGAATCAAAGAAGATATGTATATACGAACGATTTTTTATTATATATAGACACTATAGAGAGCGTCAGCTAACGTTGGCGCAAACTTAGAGCAATGGCCCTGCAAACATAGCACTAGATACGCGCCAAAACAATATGCTTCAAACACGCAAGAATAACATACCCTTAGCCGAAGGCTAGACGAGACATTTTTTTTGCGTAATCGTGACCATCAGGTCAACCAAAGCAGAAGCTTAACAGTAAATAAAGAAGGTATAAAATTTTCAACAAAACTGTACAATTTACACCCAAACAAAACTTTTCAAGTAACATGGCTTTTTGATTGGAAATACTTCAAGAGGATATAGAAAATTATAAAAATGAAGTATCAGCTATATACTGAGAACAATCATCGACAACCACTTGACAGTTCTCTACAGATTTTCATAGATTATACATATACTATACGTATATAGATATGAATATATATACATACTTTCATACAAAAGTATGAGTATACGTACATGTAGCATACGTTCATACAAAAAGTATAAATTTACATACATATATATACATATTTTCATATATACATACATAAATACATATATATAC